TTTATTTGTAAAGTAAAACAACTTTCTGAAGGGAGTAAAACCTTCTGAATTTTTTTTGGCGGTGGTGGGAGTTGCGGAGGTGAGTGGGTGGGGGAGCGAAGAGAAACATCTCGCTCTCATCTCCTTCACTTATCTGAATTTGTCACTTGTTTATTCCAGTTCTTTCGTATCATTCATCAGTGGTTCTTTTTGTAGTGATGAAAGTATTTCGCGTGTGAAATTTTTTGTGAACGTTTCATCCAACGAGATGGATAGTTGAAAATTGAAATAGTTTATATCGATATCGATTAAAATTTGATTGAATAATTGAAGGATTCACGTTATCGCCTTCTGATTCTACGACCCCAACAGCGTTTCGCATGGATTGGTTATGCGACAGCGTATCATTTGTTGAAAGATTACGATATGGCTTTGAAGATCGTTAATGAATTTTGCAATAACAATAAGGTTGCTTTCATTGGTTCATTTCTTGAGCACTCAGCACTCAGTGTTCATTGCTGATGCTGAATTAATTAAATTGTCTCTGTCTGCGTATTGTTTATTGCTATCGATTGGTTGCGCTCGATTCTTCTGGGGAAAAGTGCTTCAAAAAGAGTGTGCACTTAAGAATTCGTCAGTCATTGCGATTTTAGAATTCCTAAAGCGGACAGATAATTCGATTGGATCGGAGCAAAACATTCNTATTTTGATTGATTGCAATCACATTCTCCAGCTGGTTCATTATTTTCAACAGATTTGTATTCGTTTGCAAAAAAAATTATTTGTTAAAATTTGCGTTAGGTGATCTCTTGATGCGACTGAAACAACACGAAGATGCAGAACGTGTTTATTGGCAGTTGGTGGAGCGTAATCCGGAAAATATTGAATACTACAAACGAATTGAACAGTGCCGTGGGCTGAGTACGTGAATTTGTTACTTTTTTTAAATCGTTCTCATTCTTCGATCCTTTGATCAGTGAACATTTGTTGCCTTGGTTATTTGATGTGTAATTGTCGTGAACTAAATATTTTAAGGGAACATTACTTCGTTCCATTAATTTGAACAGTCATTCCGATGAAAGTTAAGTGAGTGACATTTTTTGCGTGTAGAAATATGACTTAATTGAATTGCGTTTTGTGAACTTTTGTTGTGAGAAATGTTGAAATGGAATGTATACGATTAGTGAATATTTAACGTGCAGATGAGGACGATGTGGATGAACGTTACGAAATTTATAAGAAGGCATTGACGTTGAAGCCGCGTGCAGCTGCTCCGAAAAGGGCACCGCTCTACTTCTTGAAAGGTCAATTTCTCTTGGTATTTCATTATCTACAATTTGCATTCGATTGTTTCATTCATTTTCGTCAGCGTTCGAAAAATTCACATAAACTTGCAGTGTGAATTATTTAGAAATGGATTTTTTTTTTCAGCAATCAACCTTTCTAATTATCACCTTTGCAATTCAGTCAGTTAATTCTAGGGGTAATTTATCTTTTTTAAAGTACAATGAAACAAAATTATGTGCCATTGAATATTATTGACAGTTGTTCGAGTAGAATAACAATGTATTGTTGACGAGAATTTAATTTCGATTCAATTTCTGTGTTTAAGGCGCCGAATTTGAGAAACAATTATTGAGTTATCTTGTTGCTGGCCTGCGGAAAGGGGTGCCGTCTTTGTTTAAGAATTTGGTACCACTCTACGCGGATAATGATAAAGTTAGCATTTATGTAGAATTTCATCTTATTATTCATTAAATTTTGAAATATTTTTTACCGGGCGAAGATGTTCTGCTGAATGTTTTTTAACTAGTTGGTTAATTTATTTTGGTAATGGGTTGTTTGAGAATTTTGTTTTCCTCAATTGATCATTTTCAAAGAAGAGCGGTCGTTGAGGTGGAAAGGTTTAGCCAACAAAATTATGAGTGAAAGTATGTGACCTTGTATGAGCAGAAAATGATTTGATTATTTTTATAGGTGCAGTTATTGGAAAGGACTCTCATCGATTTTGTTAAACGACTGGAAGAAAATGGGTACAAAAACGGGTCACTTGATGGTTAGTGAATATTTTAAT